ACAGTGTATTGTGACAGGGAGGAAAAAAAAAATAGAAGGAACTGCTGCTTTTTCCTGGAGGTAATTTAATGTTTTCAGTTCCTTGTTTCTCCTTCAGGCTGTTATTCAACATCATCTCTCACTTTGCCTCTTGCTTTTTGTTCCTCATTATCATTAGCCAGTTATTCTTCCAGTACCTTTCTATTTCATGCAAGGTTAGTTTAAGGTCTACTGTAGCTTTTAAAATGCATATTGTGAATAAGTAACCTTCCCTTTTGTAACCAGTTATCAGCCACACACAATCTGCCTTCAGGGATTTGTATTTAACCAGGTTATTTCTTTGTCAAAACCTGGAAGTAGAGAGCGTTTGGCTGTGCTGTAACGTTGTGATCCCAGTGAAGCTGCTGGCTTTGAGCATGTGACTTGCTTTGGATGGAGAACCCATCTAGGTGTCATCTAGGTGTTTTATCACTGCTGATAAAACAAGAAATCTTATCAGTTTATCTCAATCCTGATATGTTGACAAACATTAGGTGCTGTGTTTCAAACTCGTGTAGTGCAACAGATTGCACTTTGTTACCGTTTCAGCCTTTCTTCTATGTTTGATGCACAATAAATGCAGTCACAAATATATCCTGTTGATGCTCTCAGCAATTTGTTACTAATTCAGACAAGGACCTCAAGAGATTTAAAGTTCAATAGGATGCGTGGAGTGTCTTATGAAGTTAGTTGTGATTGCACACTGTCCTGTTTTTAAGCTTACCACACGTGCAAAAGCGGTTCCTGCTGCCACACTTGTGCTGCTGCCTGGTGCTTCTCTGTGTGATTATTATTCTTAGCTGATGCATCCATCTTTCAAGAGATTTTTGGGACAGGGTGATACTTTTGGACTCTGACCATGGGCAGGTTAGTTTGCCAACTAGCTAAAACTTCCACTCACAACGCTATTTATATTAAAGAGGGTTTGATTAGTGTTGTGGTTTTGTTCTTTCAGCCTGTTTAGTGTTTATTTGCTCTGAACTAGATAGAACATCTGGCTCTGACTTACAAAAGTGTGCAGTGAAGAGCACATATCACTCGTCTGGGCACCGGCTGGCTGTTCCCTGGGCTGCTGCAGTTAACTGTATGCAGTGTTGGCAGTCAAAGCAGCTTCACGTTTGCATTTCAACTGATATTTTATCTCAGGTACTTTTAGCAGTTTGAAATAAATTTTAACAAGTTCCAGTGGTATCATCTTCACTTGCTCAGTTTCAGTGCTGCAGCGTCAGTCACTCGTGCTTTGTCCTGGCACTTCATTACAACTGTCTCTGTGAGAGATCTTGATACTCAGAATCTTTAAAAAGGCAGAAAGAGCCAATTTTTGGACTGACACATGCAGTGAGTATTTAATCTGGCAGTAGTATTTGTGTGTTTTCCAGCAGAAGGCAATGTAGTGGAGTGTTAACTCTCAACTATTCGGAAAGGTCTCCATAATATACTGAAATACTTGAGGAGAGTTTATTCTTTTGAAGTAATTTATTGTGAAATTTTCAGTTGCTTTATTTACAGTGGTTGTTCATCAAGCCACAGGCATTTCACTGTCATGTGGACACACGTGTAATTTCTGTATAGGCTTGAACAGGGAATATCCAAAGACATGTTCTTTCTATAAGATTTTCTGATTTACTGAATAGCTTAGAAAAAGTCAAGGTTTGTGTACAGTCCAGTTTCAGCAATTCTTGGAGTGTCCTGTGATTCCTGTTTTGTTAGATGGTTATTTTAAGTGGTACATACTGGAAAATAATATTTAAAGTTTTATGGTGAAAGGTAAGAAAATTAAAACCTGAGTAATCTTTCACTTCTTAAAACAATAGTTATTTTTAATATTTACAGGGTTTTTTTAGGTGGAAACAAGGATAATATAAATGAACAGAGCTTGGCATTCCTCCTTGGCAGCGATACTGCCAGTAGCAGAACCTTTGGATTTCCCTTTGGTGACAGAGGGGAAAGCATTGCTTTTACATAGAAATTAGTCAATTTTTATGAGTTGAGTTTTCAGTTCATGCTGCTTCTGGAGTTTGAAATGTCTCACAAATAATTTTGATCCTTGCTTGCTGTATATAAAATATCACAGAGTTTTCTTAAACTTTATTCTCATTTCCATTTCATCTATTTCAGTAGTTGTGCAGTTAAATCACATCTTCCTTTCCCATAAAACTGCTCAGTTTATGTTGAGAGTGTAAAGATACTGGTTTTATTTTAAAACCATGCTGAAGGCAGGATAAGTGAAGACCTTAGGGAATGTAAAAATCTGCTTTTAAGGCAAAACCAATCAAAGTGGATGTTTTCTAGGTGGCACTGTGTGGTATAGAGCTTCTTGAATGTACTTTGCCTATGCACTGTCATTGATCTTGATGGCAGCAGCAATTCCTGGCTCAGTGCCGGAGCAAGGAGGAAGCACTTGACTCATAAATGCTGCCAGAGCAATCATGCTTTGGGAGCCAACAAGGTCATTTAGCTTAAATTAAATGAACTGACCTATCATCTTATAGAGATACAGTTAAAAAGAAGGGGGGGTGGGGGAGATAAACCCCAAACCTTTGCAAAAAAACCCCACATTGTCCATTTTGGGCAAGGACAAGAGATAGAAGCCGTGGTGGTACGTGAGGCAGCGAGGTGTTGTGTGCACACTGCTGGGCCTGCTGACGGCTGCCACGGTCCCGTTAGCTCCTGTGCCGGCGATGGAGGAGGAACACACAACTGCCTGCCTGGGTGATTCTTGAGCAGACAATCTGTTCTCTGAAGTGTGGTTACAAAGCTAAGTCAGAGGACCTACTTGGGAACCATCTAGAGGGTGACTGTTTTGGAAGGCCCTGGCAGAGTGTACTTAAAGCTGTTTATAGCTTGCAAAAAAGCAGGCAGGAAGGAAGACAGACAAAGCCATTTCATAGCTCAAGATAGAGTATGGAGTGTGCTGCCATGATTACGGATTGAAATTTCCTGCCCTGAAGTAAGAAGTGAGCAAAGAAAATCAAGTGGCATACTCTTAATTTTTGCTTTAAAAATTAAAATAGGTTTTGATAATTAATGTTTTTAGGTGCTTGCTGTGATGGCTTTCTTGTACTGTTACTAACGCTGTGATGTTTCTATTCAAATATTTTCCAAGAAGATTAAGGCAAAAAATGTTTTACTGATCGCTGGAGGGAACTCTGTAACTTCTAACGAGCTTGTTTTGTAACCACCTTAGGAGCCAAAAGTTTTGGATAGTACTTGTCAAAACATCCCCTTTTTATTGCATTAACCCTGTTGTCAGTGAAGCAATGCTGTATTCAGCTCACGAGGGCACATCTGGGTTCATCTTAAACAACAAAAAAAAGCCACTTGTCTGGTAACTTCATGTAAAACAGGCATCACCATCCAAACTGAAGCTTAGTTTCTATTTTAGGTTCTAGATCTAGAACTTTTTCTTCATAATCTCTTACTCTAAACTTGTCTTCGTGACAGCAGAAAGCAAAGTGTTAATCCAGTATTAACCTGAAGTTGTGGGACCTGTAGAGAGAGGATTAGTTTGTTCTTGAAGAAACCAGCAAAAGCCTTTCTGAGACTACCAGGGTTGGTTTTGCACGAGCTGCTGCTTCCCAGGGTCTGGTCTGGAGAGGTGAATACAGGGATCTGCCTTCATGTAGCCTTCCTCTGAGAAAGCAAATGGACAAAGCAGGTGTCTAAAAGGTTGTGCACTATTTTTGGGAGAAATCTGATTAATGTCAATAGGCTGTTCAGAATCTGGCTATAACCTCCTGTCAGATTATAGTTCATGCCAAGGTCGGCTCTAAACCTTCCGTCTCAGTTTCAGATGGTGTCCCATGTGAAGGGCATTTTTAGATGAGGCAAACTTCATTTTACCTTCTCAGTCAACTTTTCATGCCTTTGCTAATACTGGCATTTATTTTTTTTTCTGAGGAGACTGTTGTTCTTCAGCATAACCTGAATTCTGAAATAATCTGAGCTCTGAAATTGACTCTTCCTGCTTTTATCATGAACATATTAATTTAGTTTTATTATGTTACAGAAACCTGTACTTGAAATAGTTAATCCCTTACATGCTGAGGATCAAAAAGATTTTTTTTTTTTTAAATTTCCAAGTAGAAATATTTTTATCTCTTAAAAAATAATGCCTTCAGACAGTATTTCACTTTTATTGTTAAAGCCAGTTGAGCAAGTTCAAAATACTTCAGCCAAATGGGCAGCAGAATATCTTATCTGTTGCTTCTCTCCCTCCTCTTCTATCTGCATCTTTTGCTATTTGCCTCTGTGCTTGCTCAGAAGCTTCCCAAGCTTTGGCAGAATTGCTCTCATTTTCTGATATCAAGGTTGATTTGGACAACTGACTATGATCCAGTCAATTTTCCTTCTCTTGCTTGGCTGGAGCTGTAAGCAACAAACTATCCGTGCAGGAGGAGGTCTCGGTGTTGTGTTGGTTGCGTGGGTTTTTTGAACACATTTTTAAAATGGAAATTTAGTTTCTGCAGAAATTGATATTGCCAAATGGAAAGCATTATCCTTCACATGTGCAAGGAGCTTGAGAAAAAACATGGGGCCGCTGAATAGTGAGGAAGAGTTTCTTTATCATTTCTGTCCTATTTAAAATCTTAACAATCTTCACATTTAAAACTAACAGAAACTCTTACTCCATTTCAATGGGCTAATCAAAGGTTAATGTGGTTGAATCCCTCTGCTTCCCCCCCATATTCCTCAGTAGATGTTCTCTAGTGAAGTCAGCCTCCTCACAGAATTCTCAGCATTGGACTTTGACCTCCCTTCAGCAATTCAGGTGATATTGAGAGATCTGTGTAGGAACTGATGTCAGAAAGTTATCTTTAAAATGCTCAGAATTTTTTTTTCTTGATCAGAAATGTTTTTTTCAAGCAGGTGCAATGTCCTACTTTTTAGTTACTGAAAATCCTAAGTGAAGTCAAAAATTAAAACCTTATTTTGGAAACCATTTCTGTTCATATAACTCTCATTTTTCTGTTTTCTTCTAGGGGTAGCAGATGGTGTTGGTGGCTGGAGAGACTACGGGGTTGACCCTTCTCAGTTCTCAGGGACTCTAATGCGAACATGTGAACGTTTAGTAAAAGAAGGACGGTTTGTACCAAGTAATCCTGTCGGGATTCTCACCGCAGGTTATTGTGAGCTGCTGCAGAACAAAGTACCTTTACTTGGTAAGGGCAGAAAAGTGTGTGAATTGGATCTGTGTTGTGTGTTAGCTGGACGTGTACTTGGTCGGGGTTACTTAAATCTGTTGTCAGCTTCTACAATGAATTTGCAGGCAGTTATCTTCTCTGAATTAATGAAAAAATGCAGAAATGTAGTTGTCTTGGTAGCATCCTTATTTTCTCTTGTATGTTTAAAAAATACCTTGATTCATTCACTAATGCAGGGAATGTTTGTGTGTGTGTGTGTGTGTGTGTGTGTGTGTGTGTGTGTGTGTGTGTGTGTGTGTGTGTGTGTGTGTGTGTGTGTGTGTGTGTGTGTGTGTGTGTGTGTGTGTGTGTGTGTGTGTGTGTGTGTGTGTGTGTGTGTGTGTGTGTGTGTGTGTGTGTGTGTGTGTGTGTGTGTGTGTGTGTGTGTGTGTGTGTGTGTGTGTGTGTGTGTGTGTGTGTGTGTGTGTGTGTGTGTGTGTGTGTGTGTGTGTGTGTGTGTGTGTGTGTGTGTGTGTGTGTGTGTGTGTGTGTGTGTGTGTGTGTGTGTGTGTGTGTGTGTGTGTGTGTGTGTGTGTGTGTGTGTGTGTGTGTGTGTGTGTGTGTGTGTGTGTGTGTGTGTGTGTGTGTGTGTGTGTGTGTGTGTGTGTGTGTGTGTGTGTGTGTGTGTGTGTGTGTGTGTGTGTGTGTGTGTGTGTGTGTGTGTGTGTGTGTGTGTGTGTGTGTGTGTGTGTGTGTGTGTGTGTGTGTGTGTGTATATATATATATATAAATAAAACTAAAAGGTAGGCTGCCCTTGTTTGTGAAGGGTGGTAACTCACCAGTGAAATGATTTCTCCAGTTGAATACATTATGGCACGTGCACTCATTCCCTCTGTTACATGTGTATAAATAACTGTTCTCCTTTGAAAACTCTTTTTAGTGGTTGGTTGTGGCTTTTTGCTTAAGCTGTGTAGGCAAAAATATTTTCTGATGATAATTGGATGCAGTTCTGCTCGTTCCTTGCCTTACTGCTCCTGCTGCCTTTTATGTCCAGTGAACTTTAAACCTAATTGGTTGATTTAAGTAGTTTATATCATACAGTCGCTGGTACCATGTATCATTTTTATAATTCTTTGGAGGAGAATCATTACAGATATTTTTTTTTAAAGCAAGCTGAAGTAGATGCTTGGCATATTCTGTGTCAAACTTGATTTGAGACAGGGCATCCAGCTGCCTTGGGGATGGGGAGCAGATAGAGAGGCAACGTTTGGCTTCAGCTGACAACCTTGAAAACAGAATACTCTTCTAAAGGGCATGTGACCTCTTGGGCACCAGGAAAGTGTTACCCTGCGTGATACTCATGCTTCTCACCTGACCTTAAACTTGTGTGCCAGCAGAGCGCTGTGTCAGCTATATTTAACTTGGCTGCTGAGCTTCGGAACAGATGTTCTCGCATTATACGTCTAAAGAATAGGTTCGAACCTCAGAAGTGACCTAAAATATCACTAAAATAGCAGTGGTGGGTCATTGCTGTAGGATTTGGTGTGTGTCATAGTGCTTGGTTGTGCAAAGCAGATGTAGCTGTAAGAGATCTACAAAGTGGGCCACTGGTGAGAGCTCTCACAATGGCTTTGTAGACGGAGGCAGCCCTGCTTGGCTTGACCTTTCGAATTCTGAAAAGCAGCATATGCTGAGTCACAAGATCTGCATTCCACACATGGCCTCCTAGTTACACTCTGCTAATAGAGTTAGAATTTGAAACTAATGATCCTTGGTGTTTCTCCCTTTAACCGAGAACGGTATTTTTAGAAGTAGAAATAAAACCCTGCAATTAACCACGGCAATGAACATTTCAAGTTTATTTAAAATGAAGTGAAGGGAGAGGACTTCATCAAGGAGGATTCATTAGGCAATAACTTTTCCTTGCTGTTGTGCTTTAGGTCCTCATACTTAGTTGCTAGAATTGAATCTGGCAAATATTTGAAAATAAAACTGAAGTGAGAGGAAACTGTGCTCATTTATTTCTCAGAATCACAGAATTGAAGGGGTTGGAAGGGACCTCAGGAGATCATCTAGTCCAACCCCCCCCAAACATTATTTAAACACTATTCTCATATTGCAGAACAATCTTGGACACTGTCACATCTAAAGTCTGAATTTTTCCTAAGATACTGCTTTGGCTGAGAATTCAGTAAGAGTGGAGAAGGTCCTTTATGTTCACTAGAGAACAAATGAAGTGCAAATGTATTGCAGGGAACTCGCTGTATGAGGAAGGGAAACATCTGGAGTAGGTGATGCTTAGAGCCAGCTGGACTTAGGCACTAGCCAGCCTGATTGCAAGCTTAGCTCATTGCGAGCTTGTGGTCTGTCCAACATGTGGCTGTGCTTGGAAACTTCTGCTGGAAGAACATGAGGGTGGAAGATGAAGACAATTCACCAGGTGGTGATATGGGGACTTTTATTAGAGGCAGAAGTCAGTCAAGAAGAAAAGTTTTAGCTGTATTTAACCCTCTTGAGGAATGAAAGTTCTTTTGGTGGATGTGCTGCCCTATTTGCAGAGGTTGTTTGCTGGGAAGGACTTTGTCCATGCCTGGGTATCTTTGCTGTACAGTTATTTTTGTGGCTTGCAACCAAGCACAGTTGGTGGCTACTTCCAGTGAATGAATCAAGAATTCCTCAGTGCCCTCAAGCATGGCTGGGGTAGTTCTGAGCACGGTTGACAAGCAGATCTGTTTGTGTTTTGTCCTACTTTAACCTGGAATAGTATTTCTTTCTGAAACATGTTTTATTTACACATATAAAGTTAGTATTCAGGATTGCTATTTTTTTTTTAAACATGAAGATAGCTCTACAGAGCCATACTCTGAAGAAAACTATTTTAATGTTCTGACAAGAGTAAGGGAATAACACCCAAGAACTGCTTGCAATTAAGTATTTACTTGGTGTGGTTTGTTTACAGCTGATGAGTGAAACTGTGTGGAGAGCACCTAGCATTGTATGGATGCTACTAGAATTCTATTATCTCCATGATTTTGGAATTTCAGTATTTTATGTGACTTCTGTAAATCCAGTCCTATAGCAGAATGTGCTGACATATGTTGGGATGGAAAACTGTAAATAAAGTGGAACAAAACAGGTATTTGTCAGCATAATGTGTTTACCAAAATCAAAGCAGGAAAAGTAAGTTCTACACAAAAATCATAGTTGGTCTTGCAAAGATTTCTAGCATTTTGCTATTTTTAGTGTATATTAATTTTGGCATTATTGAGTATTTCCATTTCTCCTGATTTGTAAGCTTTGATAAATATTTGAATAATGAGACTATGAATCAAATCAAGTGGAAGAGTAAGCAATGTCTGTGAGGCTGACTCCAGTTACCATGTTCTCTTTGCTTGCAGGAAGCAGCACAGCCTGTATAGTCGTTCTGGACAGAACAAGTCATCGTTTACACACAGCCAACTTGGGAGATTCTGGATTTTTGGTAGTCAGAGGAGGAGAAGTAGTACATCGATCTGATGAGCAGCAGCATTACTTCAACACTCCGTTCCAACTGTCCATAGCTCCACCAGAAGCAGAAGGAGTTGTCTTAAGTGACAGGTAAGATGGGAGAGGAGCTTAAATGTTTAATCTGTGTATGTGATCAACTTCCAGAAGGTTGTAATTTCCTGCTGCTGTGCTCTTTGGATAGCAGTGTGGATAGTAATGTGTGGAATTTAAGTGTATATCGAATCAAAGGGTTGTACACCAGCTGCCCCTGTCTTGAAGGTAACGTGAACGTTCCTCAACTCATTCTTAACAAATTCTGTACGCTGTTGCACAGTCCCAATTTATCAGGATCATGATTATTCACTCATGATGCCATATTCCCATAGTCTGTAGGATGCAGTGGGCATGTTTTGATCCATGGAAAGGTGTTACTCAATAAAGCTGCTGTAAGAAGTCTGTGGCTGGTGGACACAGTGACCTGTCTTATCAGTGGCTTTGGTTCCCAGTCCCTGTCTGTGCTCTCTTGAGACTGGTTTGGAGTACACTAATTTAGATATCTTGGCAGTGAGGTAGCAAGCACTTGAAGAATAGAGCAGAGGGACATGTGACTGTAACTTGTGTTTCCAAATAGCTGTGTTTCCTGCAGCATATTGTATTTGACCAAAATGAGAAAAAAAAACCCCAAAACCCCCCCTGTTTGGCAGAACACCAAGCTGGGAAATGAGAGTATTAGGAAAGGACAATCTGTTCACAGAAATGAGTCGTTTCAAAGGCAGACTTGTACTTGTGTCCTCTCTGAAGAATGTCAGGCTGATCCATCCTCTGACTTTGTGAAGTGTCACCAGTAAAATAAAATAAATTGAAAAAAAAAAATAATTAAAAATTAAAGCTCTCAAATCAATGGTTATATGTTCATCAAAGTGATATTCCTCTTCTGAAGACAGAAAGATGATAAAGGGATCTTCAGTGAGTGACCACAGTACACAGGGAGTACAACAGACATCTAAGGTTTTTGATACAAGGTTTTAAATATCAAAGCTGATGCAGTAAGAGTTAGAACTTTTAATGCCAAAATAGCACTTTTTGAAAATGTTGGTTAAGTTGTTGGAACTCCTGACCATTCTTGCACGTTGTTTTATTACTTCATCATAAGACTGCAGAGAGGAAGCTAGGGTAGAACTCTGAAATTAGAACCTTAAATAATCTAACCTCTTTATTAGCCTAAAACTAAACGATTTCTTGAAATTACAGAACTCTAAAAACTTTAATTTTTCTGAGATTCTGTGTTATCCATGGGAAGACAAATGCCAAAAAGCACAAGGATAATTGATAATGTCCAGTGGAAGTCAGGAAAGCAAAGTAATCTGAGTCATCCCATAATAAGGAAAGCTGAAGATAAATGAGCTCCCACACTGCAGTTCTGAATCATGATTATAGCTTTCTGGCTAGTTTCCGCACTGTTCTTGATGTTAATTAGTACTCGTGCATGTTGTCTAAATGCCTCTCCAGTACTTTTTTTTTCAATTTGTTGTCCAAGTTAGCTGTTAAATTTGGCTATATATGGGAATAGCCAGGCAATCTTAACTCTATTAACCTTCCTGAAGCTACAGATCAGTTGAGCAAAGCAGCTCTTTGCTTTTTGGTGTAGCCAAATGGCATGGGATGGAGCAGTTCCTCCCTTTTAAAGACCCCTGAAGAATTTTTAAACACGAAGAGTTTGTCATTGCTGCTGAGAATCACATTTTGCAGCAAAATTCATGAGTAAAATAGGTATTTTCTCCTCTTGGTATTGTGTAATATATTAGACATAAGTAGACCAACCGGTCTCCTGGTAGCGATTTCCAGACCTGTTTCTTGTTCCATGGCATTGGAAAGTGATTCAGAATCCTGAAGTGTCTTGGCCATTCCTGTTATGAATTGTCCTTTTAAGTGTAGCTCTCTTACGTATTTCAGATGAGAGAGAAGGAAGCCCTGAGCTGCCATTCTACTTAATGGTTTCCATGGAGATGCACTTGTGAAGCAGATTAGTTTGCAGGATTGTTCATCTGGGAATTTTAAACGCCAGTCCTTTGTGTAATAGCTGGAACATTACCTGTTTGCAATCACGCTTCTTCTGTTGTAGCTTTCTTGACAAGCTATCCTGGTGCAAAAGCTCCACAGTCAGTGATTATTTCTTTCTTCTGCAGCAAAACAGGTAGCAGTAGTGAATTACAAAAGCTGTTGACGTGCTGGTTTGACATTGCTCAGTGCCTTAGTGAAAGCTGGAGTCCTTTTCTTAACATACCTGTCATCTTCACAGCCCTGATGCTGCTGACAGTACTTCTTTTGATGTCCAACTCGGAGACATTATTTTGACTGCGACAGATGGACTGTTTGACAACATGCCTGACTACATGATTCTGCAGGAGTTAAAAAAGCTGAAGGTCAGTAGGTGTATTCTGAACCTCTCACATCTTATCCCTCCTAGTGACTGCTCTGACTTCTGACGTGCCTAACTTTGGTGTTTTATATAAAAGCCCATCCCAAAGCGCTGTCGTTTAGAGGCTTTTCCTGGTGAGCAGTAGAAAGGGACGCTGACCCCGGAGCGCTGTCTCTCGGATCTGCATCAGGGCTCAATCCAGAGGCAGCAGCTTGGCCATCAACTCCCCGAGTAGCAGCTGGTACCGTGTCACTGACCCTGGTGAGGGGAGGAAGGGAAAGGGGGAGATGGTCAGTAGCAGGCACTGCCCTTGGCCAGCTGCTCCCACGTTGTATTCTCTCTGTACTTGCAGGTTGTAGATTATGTACATGAAAATACCCGTTCTCCTGCGGGTTATTTGAGGGGGCGAGCTGTAGACTTGAAAGTAATTTGAAGCTTTTCTGAAGATTTACAAAACAGTAATTCAGAAGCAGTGCGGGCTGTCTGAATTGGGGGTTGTGTGTGCTTGTAGTGCTCTGTCAAAAAAATTTCCTGGCAACTTTTATGGGTTAGTGACTACAAATGTTCTTTTGAAATAGTAAAAATACATTAAAATATTTAAATTTGGATGAGAACGTTTAGCTTAAGGCTATTTACTTACAGAAAGGAAAGTATACTTGGGAGGTATCAATATGTATAACCTCCCTGAGGAAACTATTTTGATGCTATGAAATGCAAATAAGGTTAACACATAGAATTAGAGTGTGGTTTTAAAAAATTTTGCCTGCTCTTACCCTGCAGCTACATAACTGAAAGGTGGTGAGAGACAGAGACTGGGTCCTCACAGGCAAAATGTCTGAGAGGCCTCTGTCTGCACATCTGCCAGCTCTCGAGCTGCCCCTCTCTCTGGTCCCCATGGTCACTCTGTTCTCGGTGCCGTACTCAGGTCTGAAATTGAGGAGCATTTAGCTGTGATGTGAAATGGAAAATCATTCCGCAGCACAAGCTGTCGCAGAGGCTTTAATCTGGTTAGCAAAGGTAACGACAGTGCTGAAGATCTATCAGCACGCTGCCTCGGTTTGGAAGGTCACTAACCTGTCTGGCTTTGTGCTGCAGCCAGATGATACCTGTGTGCTGGGTTCCCACCTGCCTTTTGCTGCACAGACCCGAGGTCAGCCCGGGTGGACGCTGGAGGTGGAATTCCCTCGTGGGAGAAAGTTGAGCTCCACCTTTTGGCCTGTTTGGGAAAGTCACTGGAGTCCCCTCTGAGGTTCAGCCAAGAGTTAATCATGTAAATGTCTGCTGAGTCCCCAGACTGCGGGGAAGACTCGTGAAATGACAAGGCATTTTAAAATAGTTCCAAACAAAAAGAGTGGTGGGTGTCGTGTCGTGCTGGCTTGAGTAAGAAAACTCTGAGTTACAGTAACTCAAGAGTTCCTGGAACAGGACAGAAATGGCACTGAGAATGCTGTCTGTGGAAAGTTTGCAGGCTGAATACATTTTTTCTCATCTAACTTGTAAAGTGCCCCTTCTCCACAAGCGTGATCCTGTCCATTTGGGTCAGAGGGGCAGAGAAATCAGACTTTGCCTTCAAGGTAAAACGGAATCACTTCAACAGAGCCTGCTGGGTGAGGAGAGGATGGTTCTTCCAGCGTGATCTGCTCATAGAGCTGTGCAGTGCCCCGTTTCCCTACCTGGTTAGTCTATTTTGAGTGTTAGTCTTCTCAGTGTCTAAATTCTATAAATCCTCCAAAACCAAATCTTGTAGCTGCTGGTGGGGAACAGAGCTCTGGGCTTCAGGTGTGAAGCTTTGCAGTTCTAACCCACGTTTATAAAGCCTAAAAGATGGTGAGGATTCTGTCTGGAAGAGAACGTAGTAACTAGTGCCCTAATTTGTGAGAGAGAGAGAGGGAGGTCCCGCAGTCAGGGATCTATAAAACTGACAAAACAACTGCTGGTTTAGACCTTCTTACAAGAATAAACTTTTTTTTCTTCATTAATTTAGAACTCCAACTATGAGAGCATCCAGCAGACTGCAAGAAGCATTGCTGAGCAAGCTCACGAGCTGGCATATGATCCCACTTACATGTCACCGTTTGCACAGTTCGCGTGTGACAATGGATTGAATGTGAGAGGTAAGATTGGTTGGGGTTTTTTTTTCCTTCTCCTCCTCCCACTCCTGCTATCTTTGAGAAATATTCAGCCAAGTGAAGTTCTGCTGTTCCAAAATCTGATAGCAAAAACCCAAACATATTGAGAGATGTGGTTGGCAGTAGAGTGCCAAGCCAGCGCGCAGGGTTTGGCAAGGACCCCGGCTCCTGACGCGGGTCATCCCAGGCCCCGGCTGGTCAGAAGCCTCCTGGGGGGAAGCAGCTGGAACGCAGGGAACACGGTGCTCTGATTTTTTTTATT